CGCCTCGCCCGAGACATCCTCAGAATCTGGTCCGACAGCGGAGGATGTCGGGAACCAGGGCGAACCGTTCGAGGCAACCCCGCAACCAGGGCGCAAACAGAGGAGTGCAGCCCTCGCGCTGTGAGTGCCCTCCCCCCCATCTCCTGCTCCGCTGCCGCCCTCTGCCTTGTCTCTCTTTCTTTCTTTCTCTCTCTCTCTCTCGTGCAGCCCGACAGTCAGTACGCTCTGCCCCAGCTACCAGAGCGCGCGAGCGGATTGCCTCTGCCGCGCCGCGACGACCATAAAGTGCGCCCCTCGCTGGGCCTTTCGCGTTCATGCCGAGCGACCTTCCTGCGCGACGCCGCGCGCGCGCGCCTGCTGATAAAAAACGTGCGTGCGTGCGTGCGTGCGTGCGTGCGTGCGTGCGTGCGTGCGTGCGTGCGTGTGTGTGTGTGTGTGTGTGTGTGTGTGTGTGTGTGTGTGTGTGTGTGTGTGCGTGCGTGCGTGCGTGCGTGCGTGCGTGCGTGCGTGCGTGTGTGTGTGTGTGTGTGTGTGTGTGTGTGTGTGTGATCGTGTGGTCAGCCCGAATGCGACCTCGCATCACAGGATGCCAGTTGGCCAGCCGATCGAGTGTCCCAACGGCCCGCTGACGCACACATGTGTATGTGTGTATGTGTGTGTGTGTGTGTGTGTGTGTGTGAGTGGTCCAGGGGTTTCGACCTGCGTCTGGGCGGGTCGGGTCGACCGACCGCTCCTTGTCTCCGTTTTCTCGTCGTTGGCGCTCCTCGGCTGCCGCTGTTTCACCCCTGTCCCTGTCATGCCTTCGGGTCCTCGTTCTGCCTGTTGCCTCGCCCCCGCGCGCTCCGCCGTTGCGGGCCGCCACTGCGCCCCCTCCTTGCAGCCTGGATTGCGTACTGCACGGTACGTCTTTCGTCTCCTCCTCTCCCCCCTCTCCCCTCTCTCCCCCACTGCTCCCCTCGTGACTGCCCCCCTCGCGAGTGATGCCAGTATCTCCCGCCGCGTGCTCTGGGTCGTTCGTGCGCGTCTCTTTCCCCGACCTTTCTCCGCCCCGCCGGTGCGCGCGTTGCCACGACGCTATTGTCTATATATATATACACATATATATATACACATATACATTGTGTATGTGTGTATGTCTCTGTGTGTGTATGTTTGTATGTGTATGTGTGTGTGTGTGGTGTGGCGTGGCGTGGCGTGGCGTTGCGTGGCGTGGCGTGGCGTGGCGTGGCGTGGCGTGGCGTGGCGTGGCGTGGTGGTGTGTGTGTGTGTGTGTTGTGTTGTGTTGTGTTGTGTTGTGTGGTGTGGTGTGGTGTGGTGTGGTGTGGTGTGGTGTGGTGTGGTGTGGTGTGGTGTGGTGTGTTGTGGTGTGGTGTAGTGTGGTGTGTGTGTGTGTGTGTTTGTGTGTGGTGTGTGTGTGTGTGTGTGTGTGTGCGTGTGTGTGTGTGTGTGTGTCGGCTGGCGCGGGATGCCGGCCTCTCTCCTCCCTGTTCGCTTCTTCCCCCCCCGCTCGCTTCCCCCCCCTCCCATGGCGGCGGCGCCCGGCACAGCGCGGCTCCGGCCCGGTGCTGGGCACTGCACCTTGCCGCTTCGGCGACCCTGCTTGCCCTGGGCAGCGCGGCTCAGGCCCGGCCCTCGGTTATGCGGTCGTCAGCGCATCGTGTGTGGCCCCCGCCCGTCTTCACGCGCTGACTGTGCAGGTCAGGCTTCCTCCCTGCACACCACCGACATCCAGTCGGGCACAGACGGCCCTGCTTCTGGCCGCACCCCCTGGCTGCTTCCTGGACGTGGATTGGACTACCACCCCAGGCCGCTACCGACCACCCGGTGGCACAACGCTGCGCATCGTCTTCGTGGTCCTCCTCTTCTCCTGGGCCTCTCCTCACCATTTGATGGCACAAGTTGCTCATCGCCTACATGGTGGACTTCTACCCCCCGGACGTCGACCTGGTTACGTCCTTCCGCGCGCAGCATTCGGGGATGGTGATTTTGACGCGCCGTCGACGGCAACACCACACCGCTCACCCTCCGGGACTTCACCTCCGGCTCCTGTCCAGGGTGTGCCTTTTCCTGTGCAAGCTCTTCAGCACCGCCTGCACCCCGCGCCTTCCGGCCGCCTGAGGCCCCGCCCGCCCGCGCCCTGTCTCCCCAATTAGTGCTTTGCGCGGCCCGCCTAGCTCTTAACCGGAAGCGGCTCGCTCTCGACCCGCAAACCAAAAAGTGTGTGTGTGTGTGTGTGTGTGTGTGTGTGTGTGTGTGAACGCACCCGTGAAGTCCTTCAGTTCAGTAGTCCTGGCTGGCCTCCCCAGGTCTCACGGAGACCCACAAGGGCTGGATCGCTGAATGTTGCTTAAGTGTTCTGGGGAGCCGAACCAAGTTTCGTAGGCCGAGCGTTTCTCAAGCTCTGCTTCGGCTTCTCAGCGGTTCCTCGCGCTGGTTGCAGCATGCTCGGTGGCAGGTCGGCCAGCCCTCCGTAGTTTTCAATCCGTGGGGGCCAAAAAAGGGCTCCTCGACCTTTTGCCCCTGGGCTCAGTCTTGCGTCCTCGACTGTGCCCCGACGGCCCCTGGGCCCGACAGGAGCCTCCCCCCGGGAAGCAGACGTCCTGGACAAGAACGCGGGCGCGCCGCGGGGGGGCGCAGCAGCCCCGATGGGGGCGCCGCGGCCCGACGCGGGCCCCACGGGGCCCCTTCGGGGGCCCACGGGGATCCCCGGGGACCCCTGGGAGCGCTGCTGAGAGGTTTCTGGAGGCGCACGAAGGTGCCGAGCGCTTCTACAGAAAGCATCGGTCCTCGACCCTCGGTCCGCCTCTCCTCCTCCTCCGACCCCCCAAAGCAGCTCAAGGCGGATCCATGGGCCCCTCTCAGGGTCCAGCTTGGTCGTTTTTTTTTTTTTTTTTTTTTTTTTTTTTTTTTTTTTTTTTTTTTTTTTTTTTTTTTTTTTTTTTTTTTTTTTTTTTTTTTTTTTTTTTATATTTAAAATCATGGATCGATTTCTAACGGTCCTGGGGCCCGAAGCGGGTTCCCCAGAGGGCCGAAACTAATGAAGAGCATCAAGTGCGATTTTTTGTCAATCCTCGATTGCTCGATTCTCCTCCGCCTCCTTCCCTCTACCGAGTGCTGGGCTCAACGTCGTGCTATCGTTCGGTGCTGTGAGGCGCTTCGGTCCACCGAGCCGTTGTCTCGCCCTCCTCTCTCGTCCTCCGACCCTCGCCTCGCCCAACAGCCATGCCCGAGGCGCCGTGCGAAGTGCCATTGCCGAAGACCGTCGCTCCAAGATGCACGGCACGTATGTGCGAACGCGGTCAGGCACAACCTAGCCTGATACGCCCGAGATGCTCATCAGGACGCCGTTGGCGCTCGTGGTTCGACTGTCCACCCCCCCGCCGACTCCGCGAGACACGGGACCTGGTGTGGGAACTCCTGAATCGGGTTCCCCCCTCCGTCCATTGGCCGTACCTGAAAACAGTTGCGGGGGTGTGGACGACCACGGGCGGTCTGACGTTGTAGACACTGGCTGGTGCTATGTGTTCGGATGCTGGGACCGTTCAGACAGGATTGCTCACGGTTTCAAGTGTGTCAGACTTATTCATTTCGACTGTCGTCCCAGAGTTGTCGTCCCTCCGTGCCCCATCCTCCGCCTTGGTCTCGGGCTTCCAGTGGAATATCCAGCTTTCGCCCTCACACGAGGGAGTGCGATCCTGGTCACCACTGTCTCATATCATTTTTTACCACATAGCGAGAGAAGTGACATCCAAGCAGGACGGTCGGCCCCTTCCATTTCCCCACTTGATGCGGTGAGAACCGCACAGCCAAAATGCCAAGTGAGCAAGTACTGGGTCCTCCTTCCGCCGCCCGATGCAACTCGGCCCTGCAGGTGGGTGAAACTATTTGCGAGGCGCTCAGGCCTCTCAGCTGACCGTGGACTCATGGGATACTGCCGCCCCTCCGCCCCACTCCTCCCTCTCTGCCCCCCACGCAAGCTCTTCCTGCGCGCCCACTGGCAGGCTGCAGCTCTCGGCAGAGCGTCTTGGCGGGTTCAGCCCCGTGACCCCCAGAGAGAACTTGCGAGAAACGCTGGCAAGGACGCCTGAAAAGGATGCCAGGGAAGCTGGGAAGCTTCCAGGAGACGCTTGCCAGGACGCTTGAAAGGATGCCTGGGGAGCTTACAAGCTTCCGATTAGTGGTCTCGCACGAGCACGCCCAGGGAATTTCGCTCTGAACGGCTGTGCGCGGTGATTTCTTCTCCCGTCCTGAGGAAAATTTTGCCGCGGCGCGCTGCCGCCTGGCGCTGGCTCTTGGGCAGCTTCCTCGCCGAGCCCGACCCCTGAAAGCCCGAGGCCTCCCTAGCAGGCAGCTGGCTGCTGGCCCCGAGCAGGTCACCGCAACCCCAGCGCGCCTCTGCAGGGGAGTGCCGTCGAGATCCGACGTCGCGAAAGAGTTGCAGCATCGCGAAGCATCAGGACCAGAAGCGTCAAAAGCTTCGATCCTCGATCTCCGACCCCTCCTCCTCGACCCCTCCTCCTCTGTCCCCTTGTCCGCCCCAAACGGGTCCCCAGAATCCTCCCAGGGTCCTTCCTGGCAGTTTCTCTCACCCCGGATCCGCTTTTGGCGGCCCCGCGGTCCGGCCCGAAACGGACCCCAGAGGCCGGAATGGAAGAACAAACCTAGGATCTGACGTTGCAAACAAAGGCAGCATCGCGAAACATCAAGACAGGCGCCCCAGACCCCATGTTTCTGCGGCCTTTTGCGAACTGCATCGAGCTGTGGTCGGTGGCCCCCGAGCCCGAACTTTGGCGAAAACGCCCGGTGCGAAAACATTGCAACGCCCGGATCCCAGGAGGAGGAGGAGGAGGAGGAGCAGGAGGAGGACGAGGAGGAGGAGGAGGAGGAGGAGGAGGAGGAGGAGGAGGAGGAGGAGGAGGAGGGAGGAGGAGGAGGAGGAGGAGGGGAGGAGGAGGAGGAGGGGGTGCGGCCGCGAGGACGCCCTCGCGCTCCTGGAGGAGATGGCGAGGCGGCGTCTGCGGCAGGCGCCTTTCCGCGCCACGGCCGGCTGCGCCGTGAGTGAGAGCCTGCCCTCCCAGAAGAAGGAGGCGGAGGAGGAGGGAGGAGGAGGAGGAGGAGGAGGAGGAGGAGGAGGAGGAGGAGGAGGAGGAGGAGGAGAGGAGGAGGAGGAGGAGGAGGAGGAGGAGGAGGAGGAGGAGGAGCAGGGGGAGAAGGAGGAGAAGGAGGAGGAGGAGGAGGAGGAGGAGGTGGAGGAGGAGGAGGAGGAGTATTCACTATACTGGCGTATCCGCGGCAACACGCGACGGCGAGGCGGAGCGCCAGCGCCTTCCTGAATGAGAGAGAAGGACGGAGGTGTGAGGGGAGGGGAGGGAGGGAGTATGAGTAGGAGTAGGAGTAGAAGTAAGAGCAGGAGTATGAGTAGGAGTAGGAGTAATGCCAGCTTGTGATTAACAAATTAGGCCCCCCCGGGGCTGATGAATAGATCCTGCGGGGCGCGACACTTTTTTGTCATTCGCGCCAGGGTGTCGTCGCGGGCGCAGCCGAGGGGATCGTGTACCCCTCCGCACGGCAGCCTTAAAACGATTGCCTTCTGTATATAAGTTGCGATGGGGATCCTATACATCCGAGGCGAAGTTTTTCCCCCTCTCAGGCTGATTATTGACGCGCCATCGTTGTCGTTGTTGTCGTCGTCCTCGTCGTCCTCGTCGTCGTCGTCGTCGTCGTCGTCGTCGTCGTCGTCGTCGTCGTCGTCGTGGTCCTCGTCCTCGTTCTCGTCCTCCGCATCGTCGTCGTCGTCGTCGTCGTCGTCGTCGTCGTCGTCGTCGTCTACGAGCACAGCGGGCATGCGTTTCCCCCATCGAGCATCCGCACTGCGTCGTCGTCGTCCGCCGTCGCCGTCGTCGTCGTCGTCGTCGTAGGATATTGTAGCGGAGGGAGGGCGAAGATGGAGAAGGACGAGCCCTTTCCGCCTGCCTTTGTCGATCCTCCCTCCCTTGTTCCAGTCTTGTTTGTAGCCGCGTCGGCGCCGCCCGCCAGCTGAGGCGCCTTTTTTCGCCCGCCTCCTGATTCTTTCCTGTCTGTAGCCATTCTGGCCCAACCGCCCAGCCATAGGGGAGGCGCTGCTGTCCCCTTCTGCTGAAGCGGCGCCGCCTGCGTCGCGCTTGTCGTCCTCCTGATGTCGGCCAGGCGTCGGCGCTAATCGCCGGCGTCGCCGCCGTGCGTTTCCGCCCCCGAGCATTTTTTGTTTGTTTGTTTGGTTTCTTCTTCTTCTTCTTCTCTTGAGGCGGAGGAGGAGGAGGAGGAGGAGGAGGAGGAGGAGGAGGAGGAGGAGGAGGAGGAGGAGGAGAGGAGCAGGAGGAGGAGGAGGAGGAGGAGGAGGAGGAGGAGGAGGAGGAGGAGGGGGGTAGGAGGAGGAGTAGGAGTAGGAGCGGGAGCAGGAGCAAGAGGAGGAAAAGGAGGAGGAGGAGGGGAGGAGGAGGAGGAGGAGGAGGAGGAGGAGGAGGAGGAGGAGGAGGAGGAGGAGGAGGAGGAGGAGGAGGAGGAGGAGGAGGTGGTGGGGCCCGCGCTGCTTCTCGAGCGACCGCGGCCGTGGCAAGGCCGAGCCGACCGCGGCTGGGGCGCGCAGCGGCCGCGGCGCGCGGTCTGGCGCGGTCGGGCGTCGGCTGGGCGGCGGCCCCGCGGCGGCGGCGGCAGCGGGGCGCGGCGGCGGCGCGGCGCAGGGGGCTGCTCGGCGTTGCTGCTGCGGGAGGAGCTGGCGCCTGGTGGTGGGACCGCGGGCGCCTGGCGGTGGGGCCGCAGGCCAGGCGGCCACGCGCGCGATTGTCGTGTTCGCCCCGGCGGATTGGCCCCGGCGGGCGCCCTCCTCGGCTCGAGGACCAGTCACCGCTGAGCGGTGCGCTGGTTCCGGGGTTGAAGCGCCCGCGCCCGATCAAAGTGCTCGGGTGCGCGGACAGACGCGTTGGCCGCTTGGAGGAGGAGGAGGAGGAGGAGGAGGAGGAGGAGGAGGAGGAGGAGGAGGAGGAGGAGGAGGAGGAGGAGGAGGAGGAGGACGAGGAGGACGAGGACGAGAAGGACGAAAAGGACGAGGTGGAGGAGGAACAGGAGCAGGAGGAGGAGGAAGAGGAAGAGGAGGAGGAGGAGGAGGAGGAGAAGGAGCAGTGCGGGTACCAGCTTTAGTCCAGGATGCATCATCGCCACTGCAAAGCACTCTCCCGATCCAAGTCCTGGATGTGTGCATGCAGTTTTTTATTGCAGCGGGCAGCGCGCCCTTGTAAGACGAACGCCCCGCAGGTTTGCCATTCAAGTTGGGGCACCGTTGTGAAACGGAACCGTTATCCGTCCTGCTAGTAAGGGGGGAGCGCCCACGTGTAGGATCAAACGGTCCAGGGAAGTGTCTAGCGAACGTCTTCTATTTGAAGGGAGCCGCTCTCAGTCCGTGTAGTCGCCGCGCATTTTTGCAGTTCTTTGTAAAAAGGGTTTCGGGTTTCCATCAATCGTTTCGTATTGGCATGGGACTGCCCCACA